ACAACACAACATATCCAATTCAAAGCAGCCCAACGGATCTTAGGGATCGACAACACTGGTGATATTTGGTTATTGGTCGACATCACACTCCACGATTCAGAAAAAAAAAACCACCACAACATTCTTGTATAAATTAGTTTTAATTGAGCATAAATATTAGATTTTCAGCAACAAACAACGAAATAATGCTTCAAATTTGCAAAAATTCTAAAAACATTGAGAAGTTTATTATGTCTAGATCCGAATGAAAATACCAAATTAATTATGAGACTGTCGCTTAAAATTTCATCGTTGATTTTAGCCAAAGTTATAATAAATTAATTGAGGTCGATAGGTTCCTTTACTTTAAGAACTTTCTTGACAAAAAAAAAATAGAAAAGTTTTATTTTGTCGAGTTTTATTTGTCTACAAATTTTCTTTTCCTAAACGAAATGATTTGGAAGCAAAAAATAAGATATCTACAAAAAATAAAGTCTGAGTATTACACGAAGCAAACTGACATCACCTTACCCGGATTGAAACAATCGTATGTTGCGCATCAATTTCTGTCCGTTTCAAATCCGTATGCGCAACCTTTCTTCATTGGGCAAAATCCTGTAAAAAGCTTATACATTCATTGCAGCGCACTGTATCTTTTTGTCCAAGTTTGTCGTAAGCGATTTTCACTTGCAGACAGCCTAAATTATTTCCGTTAAAATTACACCAACTGTACTAGACCATAATTGATAGAAAGGACCCCAGGATACCTCGTTATTTGTAGATAGTCAAATTTTCTTTCCAATATATGATCATGTAGCACTTTTGCAACTTAGAAGCAATCGCTTCGAACTTATATCTAATTCGTAGCATGATTAAGGGGACATTCATCATTTCCTAGTATATTAATACGTGTTTTAGCAGATATGATTGTAGGAATCGAGACCCATGTAGTTCCTGATGAAATTTTACGTCGAAAATTTTTATGTTAAGGATTAAATGAATAAAATCAACCAGATATTTTGACACATTTCATTCCACAACCGTCATAGCAGCACTTTGTACCTGTTTCACATTCTTCATCTGTAAGTTGCCTGTTGTTGTTGGTAGAGCAATACAAAATTTTGTCTATACTTATCCATATTCGTCAAGTTTCCAAGAAAATCGTTTCTCTGTCCAAAAACAATAAGATTTGAACATTTTAATGAACATGAACATTTTATAGTTAAAAAAAAAGACCTGTTTTGCAGTGAATATCACATGATTTGTTGTGTTCAATGAACGGTTCCACAGATTTGCACTTTGCATCACTGTGGACCTGATTTGAAGGTAGTGGACAACAGAATCCCTTGGATTGTATACCAATATTATTGCACCAGTAATCATTTGGACAGTCTCGCTTACTTTCGCAAAGTACTGGAGGAATTACTGATGAGCGATCAGTTGAGCAAATGTTTGGTACACCTCAAATATAGCGAGTGAATTGTGAAAGTTAGCTCGTGCTTAAACACTGATACACTTTATGATATAGTTTTGGATTTAAAAAAAGGAATTTCAAGTCCACGAAACATAACCCAAAATAATGCACATGCGTGAAACTGCTATTATTTCTTTAGTTCAGTTACATGTCCAGTAATGTCAAGTATCAGTTTTTTTTTAGACTTATAAAGGTTTAATTTACAAACTGTTTTCATAAATAACTGAATTTTAGGAAATTACTTGCAGTGCGGTTGGTTCGGACAGTAAATATTTTCCAAACACGTCATGCTTGCCATTACGCAAATGTATCCCTGCGGGCATAATATACTTTTATAAGGATTCCGGCATTCACAGGATAGGCATCCTTCACGTGTTACTTCAAAACATAGCCACAAATTTTCGAACATCTGAACGGCTCGCAGTCAAGCCGTCTTTCTGCAAAAATGGAAAGCTAATTTGTGCAAGACTCCGCTAAAAGCTATATTGCAAAACTCTACTGCTTCAATAATTTGATTTATTTAATCTAAAATCAGTTTAACAACCACAAAAATCTAAACAATGCAGATTAACGTTTAAGAATGTTAATATCTATCTCATGAGCCATAACTAGGATAGTAAAAATGTTATTTGAACATAACTGATTATATCAAAAGATTCAGTATAATTACTGTCACGCTAATTCTAATTCCTTTAGTAATAGCTCTTTTGATTATTTTCCTATTCGTGCCACAGGCATTAAAAAAAAAATTTTTTTCTCAGTGTTCTTGAATATAAGTCACAGTATACGAAATGTAAAATAAAGCATATCGTTTTAATTAAGCCATTTGACTAAAATATTTAAATAACATTTATATAACATAAAATATTTAAGTGACTTATAAATATAATGTTTTAAGAAATTAAAAAAAAAACTGTTGCAGACAGGTTCTGTATGTAATGCTGTTCGAGTTGCTGGAGTTTCAATACCATTCACTGTATCAACGCAGTAACAAATATCGTCCTCACATTGTATTTGTTCATAATTTCCTTCATCGTTGCATTTTGGTACACGACCGCATCCATAAATTTCGTGTGTGGTAACTTCATGAAGACATGCTGAAATGTTATGGCTGCCGTAAACATCAAACTTGCTAACTAAGGTAATTTGTTTTATTGACTGGAAATATTCCAATAGTACTTGTTTAAAGAAAATATTTCTAATTTTAGAAATTTCAAAAAAACAAGAAAAAAAATTTCAAGATTTAAAAAAAAAATCTTTCTAAAAAAAATTTTTTGGAAAAAAATCTCAAGGAAAAATTTCAAGAAATTTCAGTTAAATTTCAGTCATTTGCTTTTAATAGAAGCAAGTAAATGAAAGACATATATTTCTTTAATGACTTAATAACTTAATTTCTTTTTTGAAACCAGCAGTAGGTTTGAAAGTTATTTGAATATCGAGAGAAAGGAAGTGCTAACAAGATGATTTACCTGTTAGTTTGGTAGGAAATAAGGAAAGTGCAGAACAGTTATATGTGCAACATTTTTTAATACCTGGATAATCCTGATCAATCTTACACTCTACTGGACACTTTCCCAGATCATGATGCTGTTGTACTTGTGGACATTCCACGATTCGCTGCACTTTTTCGCCTGCAATTTAAATTTTAACGGGAAAAAATCCTCTGATCAACGGAATTTCAGGAATTGGTCGTATCAACTGTTTTTAGGAATAGTATTCAGATAGTTGTGGAAGGGTAACAAGAAAATACTGAGTAAAACAAATGTTCTCATACTAACTTGAAAGAAATAAAAGCGATCTTTGTATTATATCCTTCATGTTCATTATTAAGAAATTACAATAGGTTAGTTGCTTTATTGCGGCGACTGCGATATGCTTTAACTTTAACTTAGTTATGAAAGAAACAAATTAAATATTATATTCGTTTGTAAATTTAAGCTTTGGCAGTCAAATGTTTCTCAATAGTAGCTGATTTTTGAGCAGACTAATTAACACGAATACCATGATTATGTGTACTATCGAGTAAACATTTCAAGCCACATCTATCGAAACAACATTTTGCTTGCTCTGAACAATCTGAATCAACACGGCATTCAGATTCACTACTTCTGCAGGACTGTGATAGAATTTGAACACAACTTCCGTTGTGTAATACCGCTTCTAGGAGAGAGCAGCAAAATCCCAAACCATTAAAACCGATCTAAAAAAATGAAATTATGATTGTAAAAGATTTGAAAAGAATTGAACTATAATTGAAATTTTAAAAGAATGGGAATGATGCCATAAAAATATCGGTTAAGTACAGTTGCTCGCTGGATCTGGAAAGACGATAGCTACAAAACTTAAATTTTTTGATAGATATTTCACAATTGATGTATTTTTTAAATCCATAATTGACGCATAGTTTGACCAGTTTAAGGTGAAATTGAATTTGCTACTATACTTCCGAAAGTTCTAGGAAAATTTTTTGATAATTTTGAAAAAACAAAAACCATTCAACACAAAACAAATAAACTGCGTGAAAACAGCAATAAAGTAGATAGCGGATAGGAAATAGTTGTTGCAAATAGCAACATCTAGAACAACTGACTGTATGTGATCATTATTGAAACAGCTACAAATGTAATTTATTTTTAACATAATGAATTCCAAAATATACTGTCACTCATTTATGCAATAACAGATTTTGTGAGACAGAACTGAGTAATTACTTCTGTAGAAAAATCTGCCTCTCGAAAAAAACCTGTTTTTTAATTTCAGAAGCAAAAACTGCAGAGACCATTGTATTGAATATATTGACGCCCTTCAAATCTTTTTAATTACTGCCTTCGAAACGAAAGAATTAAAAAACAAAACAATGATTTCAGGATTCAAGATACCTGATGGACTAATGACTAGGCAAACACTGATTTGTGTGGGTACACAATGCTGTCACGCTGTTTGATAAGGTCATCGGTGATCCATTTGGACAAGGATTTAATAAACCTATAAATATAGAAATCATTTAAACATAGTTTAGATAAACATATAACCGAATGATTCATCAATTGAATAAATAATCAATTGAATCTTCGTGGACCTAGTGTTAGAAAAATACCGAAATTAAGTCGAATTGAAACTTTTAAAGCGAGTTGAACTCACATCTAGGCACCGGTCGACATGGCGGTTTAGCACAATCAGGGTCAATCATTTGGCACATGTCAATGTCACTTATACATTTCAATTCTTCGCAAAGATCTCTGCAGTTACAATTATCCACCGGACAACCTTCATGGTCCGTTTTAATGCCAAAAGGACACACTTTTGGACATAATTTAGCTTCACAATCTCTCTTTTCTAAATAGTATAGTTAAAGTATGGAAAAATTAAACAATTTGCCATTCATTTTGAATTCAGCAGTATCATTTTCTCTGTTCCAGTAGTTTGCTAGGAAGACAGAGTAAAATTAATTTTTAATCCTCAGGTTCAATGAATACAAATTCAACAAAATTACTTTTTTCATTGCAAGTAAATTTTTAGAGAAAACTTACGTAAGCAATTTGGTGAACCAATTTTCCTGAAAGTTTTGGTTCCAATGATTTCAATGCCTTTTTCATCAACACACCAACAATAGCTGTGATCGCATTGTATATTCTCGAATTCTCCATCAACTGTACATTTTGGCACATATTTTTTCATGAGTGTTTTCCCGAGTAATCTGCTTACTGCTGATGTAAGCTGTATGCAATCTGCAAAATTTAGGTGTGGTAACTGAGAGCCTAAAATAGTTACTCGTTTGTAGAAAAGTGGGAGCTAATTTGATTTATGAACTTGAAATCTTGATTTCCATAAAACTCTTTGAGGAAAACAATTCATTCCATTTTCTTGCTCTGAGTTGCACAGAACACTTTGCAATATGTCATTCTGACAAAATTAAAAATGACCAGATACCTGTCGCTTTATCAGATGGTGCACAAACGCGACCGCAGTCATTATCACAACACTTTCCAACTAAAGGGCATTCCTCATCGTAAATGCATTCAACTACACAGTTCTGATTCTTGACGTAATTTTTTAATGGACATTTTCCTATTCGATTAAAATATTCTGAAAAGACTTCTTTTGTTTTCCATATCTTTGTTTTTTGTTTCCAATGTTATGGAAACAGAATGCAGTTAGTTATTAATCACCACTTACTTCTGTCTAATGAAGCGTTGACTCATCACATAATGAATAACCATTCATAAACTGTACCACTAATCGTTATTTAGCTAAATGTCCAAGTTGTGCTAGGCCACTTTGCAGATCATGCATCTGAGAAGCATTTTGGTTATCTCAATGTTTGCCTATCAAGTGTACCGTGTGAAATCCTGGAAATAATAAGAAATTAAATGCTATGTAATAATTTCGACTGAAAAATAAAATCGATGTCTGGAACAAGTTTGTTTTATAGCTTTGATGAAATGAATAACATCAGATAATTGAGATTTAAATTTTAGTGTTTTTCTTGCTCATAATTACTTTTAATATGAAACTGCAGTGGAACATTTAACGCTAATGTCAGCATAATATATGCTTCAAGAAATATCACTGTAAAATTGAATCATTTGTTAATCGCATAGGGAAAGCTGTATAAATTATATCATATTTCAAGCAGTAAATTACGAGACCTTAACATCATTTCCTTGCACTTATCTGTGATTTTCATGACGTGAGGAACTGACCTGTTGTTTGAAAAAGGTGAATTGAAAGTGAATTCACGACTACTTGTGAACTAAGTGCAATGACACATTCTCGACCACATCCGTTGTTGCAACACTTCGACGTACTGCCACATTCACTGTCATTATTGCATTGATGTGTACAAGCACCAGCATCATTGAAAAGACGTGGGCACTCACTTGCCTTTATGGCTGCTTTATTTCCACCGTATGTTGAAAACCAAAGATGAAATTGTCATTTTGAAATAAGAATTTAACCGAAATTTCCATTGTCAGCTTGATTTTTTCTACTTTCGCTTGTGACTGTTGGATTAATTAAAGAATTTCATGGTGGAAAACTAAGTTTTCGCAGTGATAGATGTCATATTTTTTATTTTTATTCTTCCTTTTATTCATCTCGTAAATATTGCTTTTATTGTTTTCACTTTTTCTAGTTTTATTCACTACTTTTGATTACTTTATTTTTGGTTAAAAGCAAAAGCGGAGTATTTTCTTTTGGTGCATTCTGCTGATTAGTTATTGACACATGGTGTTTATTTGAGTCATCAATTCAGTGAATTTAAGATAAGCTGAATTGAAAAGTTTGACAAAGAAGAAAGTGTCACTTTTGAGAAAGTTCTAAAAATTACATACTGGCAGTCTGTATAACAGAATATATAACAGATATAGATTATCACTGTGGAAAACGGCTTTGGAAAAGAAAACAGATGTTTAGAACCGAATATTGCATATCCATTGATGTAGAATAACAATGAAATTTAATTTACTTACAACAGTTATTTTATGTTACTTTACTTTATGCTTTATTTTATCCTGTTTAACTTTGTCCTATGTCTTCTCATTCTATTCCATTCTTTGAGTTGACAATTTGTTATGAATTCGGGACGCTAAGTTCGATTGCAAATTTAATGTATTATAAGTAATAGATTAATAAAACAAACAGTGACTTAAAACACAAACAACAATTGCGATGATAGTTGCAAACTCACCAGTCCGTGATACACAAAAAGCTATACCGCCGCTGTTATGTCTGCAATATTCGCTTAGCGCATATGCCTTTAACTAAAAGTTTTTATTTCCATTGTAAATTCATTTTAAAATTTTTAAATTAAATCCAATGAAATTTTTGTTTTATAACTTCCAATTTATTAATGATTCAATGCATGGGATTAAATATTCTAAGCTGAAGGTTAGCAGTTCCGAGTATATATCGAAGAAGTTCGGATAACAAATTTAAAACCTTCAGAATGACGGGAGCGGAATTGGTGAGTTAAGCCCAAATTCTGGTACTAATTAATTATACGATAGAAACATGTTGTCTTGTCATTGATTAGCTTACTAGCAGGAATAAACAGGAATAAGCATGACTTTTCTATTTACTGATTATGATTGGTATGGTAATACATTTCAAAGAATAATAGTAGTATTAAAGCATGGAAGAAATAGATAACAGGTAACTTACAAGGCGGGGGTCATCGTGACAGATGCACAAACATATTCCCAATACACCAGTCTGATAACCAAATGGACAATGAAGGTCACATCTAAGCGGACGTTGACAGGAACGTCCCATAATTGTACTGATAATTGAGTTTTGCAGGTATGTATTTTCCAAGCAGATCACTAGCGACGAAAGACAGTGGAAGAGGGAAATGAGCAGAAATAGCATATTACAATAAACATTACATTGACCGATTAGTTTCCACCACATCAACAAATTTGTTACAGGAAAAGAACTGTTGTTTTCGGTTTTTCTTTCTTCAACTGGCAGCTAACATATTGCACAAGGTGGCATTTGTCCTTTTTTACCTATACGATCAATGCTTGTACAGCAGTATTTAGAGAACCAATGATTTCAATTGTTAATTTGGCTATAAGATGCCATGCCATTTCTGAAGGTGATAATATCTGAAATAGATTTTAATACAGAATTTCAACACTGTAAAATTTCTATGGGATTTTTTTTATTTTTTATACTGAAAGACTAGAAACGGCTATTGAAGACACAGGATAACGATGCCGGTTGTATGACAATAATCACCGACATCACTAGCATCGTTGACATGATCATTATTTCAGTAATAACTCTCCTCCTTCTTCATTATCAATTTGTCGATTGGGAATTTCCACATGGAAGAGATGAAATATCGCAGAGGACGAAATGAGACAAGTGGAAATTGTGCAGCAGTATTTAGAGAACTAATATGATTGCTGGCAACAAGTGACACAGTTTCGCCCACTTCCATTTCCCTCATTTATAACATAATTTTACTCTGGAAGATTTATTTATTCGTCGCTTTCACCATTTAAAATCTTCCAGAATTTGGTGACCATTATGTGCATGTGCATTCAAAGCCATTATATCGCCTTTATATCTGCAATATATGTCTAGTATAATAATTTTTCAGTATGCCGTACATTATGTCGTACATCTTGGAAATCACAAGAAGAGCGCTTATTTTCGAACTAAAATACTTTACGAAGTAAGTGATTGTAACTGAACTGTGTTAACTCACAAGCTATCAAGACTCATAGAAATCGATAAAACAGAATGCTTCAAGCTATTTCAAAAACGATTTATGATTCATTTTTTGTGATCAATTAAATCAGAAGTACGTGTGACAGCAAATCAGAACTGATGCAATTTTATAATGAAAATGAACAGGTATTTATTTATCAGACAAGTGTTTGAATTACTCCATAGTTTTCGATTCATTTTAATTAACAACTGATGGCCAGTGACATTGACTTAGTAATGATCGTCTCGCTTTACCGTTCATCAGAGATATATTTTTTACATTGCTTATACGTTGACAAGATAAATTGGCTCGGTGCTAACTAGAACACCTTTTCAAACACTGACTGGAAAACCGTAGCGAAGTATCAATGAAGTACAAAAGAGTTTCGGAAAATTGTTGAATTTTGAATTTTTAATTTAACGATTATGTTTAATAATTAAAAACGAGCATGTAATATCCATATTCATGTTATTTACGGTATTAATGTTATTTACGGTATTCATATTCGGTATTCATGTTATTTACGAAGTACCAAATAGGTGAATTAACTCTTGAACTTTTGAATAATTTCCTTTTCACACTTACTTACACTTCAATCTAGAAATTGCTAACCAAATTGCAGCAATATATGGCCCATGTAGTTTCTTGTATATTTTGTTTTTCCTTTTTTTGTTTTTTTTTTTTTTCATTAAAAGAGATTATATAGGCCACATTATATTGTAATTTTTTGTGAATTGAGCACGTGATATTTTTATGCTGATCGTAAAGAAGGCTCGCAAAAAAAAAAAATTCCTCAAATCCTTTCAGTTCTGAATAACAAGTTGTCCAAAGATTTAGTGCATTAGTTTCCATTAAGGACAATGACTTCATCAGAAACTTTAAAGCTTCAAACTTAAATTCAATTTCTCAGTTTTTTGTGTGATATTTTTGAATTGTTTTTTCGCTTCCTCAAATAGCTTATTTTTTTAGCCGCTGAAAATTTAATTGGGAAAGTGTTGTTTGTGTTGAAAGCAGGAGCTCTTGTTTGATCTTCTCATTTTCCTGAATGCCATTTTGTAACAAATGTTACTTCCGGGAATAATTTAATTCAAGCGATGATATCAATGGGTTTGCAAAAACTTCGATAATCCAAGGGATTGTTTCCAATGGTTTAATTTGTACTTCACTTTCACAATTCTTTGCTTATTTGAAGTGAATTTTACTGAAAAATAAACAGTGTTGTAGAAATAAATAAATAATTATTCATTTTTATTCTCATTTTCAAATTTTTTTTGTTGTTATAAATGGTCGGTTATCATCTGCTTATTCTGAGCCTTTCGATTATTTACTGCAACTTTTCGATGGAAGAGTATTACGTCATTGTTATTCAACTGAAATTCAAAGTTGTGCAATTAAAACTGAACTTTGAGTGCGATTGAGAATCATTCGGTTCAAATCAACTAATTCATGTATGTTCTCACAGCAAGTCGCGTCACATGTTACTGTAATAATCGAAACTGATGAACTACAATCAGGGTTCTTGAACCTCAAATTGCTGAAAAAGGAATATATATATGTGGTCATGAAATTTTGTTAAATCACCGATAGTTTCACTGAACCCATTAGTCAAATCATTCACTATAACCTAGATTTGACAAGAAAAGGTGCCGTGTTGTTATACAATATACATTTTAAGGATAAAACTACAGCGAGGACATAAAGTTTTTTTTCCTCCCAAATGTTATAAGTTATTGAAAGCAAAAATTCTTCGATATAAATAGTAAAAATGAGATAAGAAGAGTGTAGACTGCACTGAACATAATTAATAACTCATAATATCTTTTTTTAAGTTCGAGAAAATGCAGTCCAACAGCTGTATTTATTACTTGATACTAAAGTCATAACTTCCAAGTTTTAAAGGTATCTGTCGCATTAAGCAAAGAGAATAACTTAGAAAATCTCGTAGGGAACAGGTTGACCTTATCAACGATCGTTGTTAAAATAAAAAAAATGACTAATGATTACATCATTTTCCAACCCAAACATTTTACTGATATCTATGATTCAGTCAGTACAATAGAACCGGATGGTGATGCGGCATTTGTCGAGTATCTTTAAATATCATCGTCTTGGGAATGAAACAATGTCACCTGGTCTTTTAATTGATTGGGCTGCAAGTGTTCATTTACTTCTAGTAAAGAGTTAAATTAAGTTTAAAACCTGATATCTGGAAAATAAAAGGAAGAATGATAAAATGTGTGTAATTGAATGGTCACTGAGCATAGTGCTTGGAAGATTGTTATTGTTTGGACGGACTATCATCAAAAAATAGAAAAGAGCTGATTATTGCTGAGAAATTTTGTCGCGTATCATCTCTAAGGGAAATAAGAAGATTGACCAGAATAAGAAGTAACAAGTAGTACTTGAAAAATATTTAAATAAAATATTTTAAAATTTTACTGTTAGATATAGCATACATTTAAAGTTCAGATAAATATAGCACATTAAATTCTTTTGTTGGTTTTCGATTTAGAAACGGAGGGATTGATGATAAAAATGCAGTAAGATTCTCCAAATACTGTTATGAAAGAGAGTTTTGATTTAATAAAAAGATAACCCTGTATGAGAGAGAGATTTCGATGCCTTATTTATGAACCTTTATTATACTAATGATATGGGCAGGTTTAGGAATGTATGTATTGAAATTAGCAGTCGTCTGCAAATATCTTTTGTTGTCACTGCTGATTGATTTTGGTAAGGGATGCTTATGATTCCTTTGCATAAAGGCTTTTAACAGCAAAACATATTTGATTGGTTTAAATGAATTTTTCACAATATTCCAATTTATAATTTATACTTTTCACAATATTCTAATTTTTATTTTTTTTGCTTTGGCTACAATGAAGAAAAGAATGATAAAAAATACGGCAAAGAAAAAGTCATAAGAAACAAAAACAGAATCATCTGATTTAGAAAGCGGATATTGTCTGTGCTTGCTAGTTTTAAAATTTTCCAATTACTGTTGCGCATATGAAAATAGTACTCGAAATAACATGAATTTACATTTGTTCGATATTAATTGTGCAACCAGTGCTATCAGAATCATGAAATTTGCCAGTGTTAGGACTGTTGTGTTACCACTGTTAGGCATTTACATCAACACATGACCGTTTTGTCAGAAGAAAAAGTCATTTCATATTGCTTTGAATCATTAACTTATTACAGATGAGGATATCGTTTCAGACAGGTTTAACGTACGAGTGTTTTGTCAGCATCATTGTTACCGTTTGACGTGAAGCTAGAACATTGATTTTTTCCTTTTTTTTTTTTGGAAATCTAATGGTATTTAGTTGGTATCACTATCGTTTTTCCACCACGTTTTATCTTCAAGTGATATTGCGTTGGGGACGGAAAACTATTATTTCCAACAAAAATGTTGTATATACATCAAGTTTAGAATAGAAAAGTCAGATAATATTTCAGAAAAATTTCTTAAATATAATAACAATGAAATCAGTTTAAATATTCAAAGAAGAAACTTCGACGAACAATGATTTAGATGAATCGCAATGAAAGTGGACATATAAAATGTTTTAAGAGAGAAATGCTTCCACTAATTCTCGATGGATTCGACAACAAGATAGTTTTATTAGAAATATTAAAATATACCGGCAGAAATGGAAGATGAAAGAAATGGATGGTTTGGACGAAGAAACGGAATAAAAAAACAGTGAAAAAGACAAACGAAACATGAGGTCGTACGATAAATTTACTTATAAAGTCACTGATCATTGACTCTGAAAAGATGTCAATACCATTAGAGGCTTACGAAGTTTTGATTCTGTTTGTTTTACGAATATTCAAATTGGTATCTGTGTTGTTTTCTTTTTTTATTCCTTCGCAAATATTACCGTATCTCTCACCCTGTCACTTCGCTTCGGATAATTACAATATTGCCTGTCTCTCGATCTCCATTCACTACGTATACAATGGAAAACTTCATTGACTAAAAAAAATCAAATCTTAAGGCAACTCACATTTTAAATAATTAAAAATAATTAACTCAATTTATACAGATGCCGACTTCATAATTCAAACAGTGACCTACTACTGTATTCGCAAATTTATTGACGACTGTTGAGGAGATAATGAATTGATATCTTGTGAAAGCTTCTATTTTTCTATGATCGAAAAAAGAAAGAGAAAAATACTGTTGTGTGTTTCGAGCATTAAATTATTGAAAATTAAGACCATAATCAGAGTTTTAATTTGGTCAGCAGGATTACAAGCAAGCAGATGAATTGCATCACTACCACTATACTTTTTGCACTTTCTGTGGAAAAATTCTATTTATTCAAATCCATAAACTATTAACAGGACTCGAATATCCATTCCTTAGCACCATTTGTGCTCCATCATTAACGTGTCAGTAGGTTAACCATTCCGATCAAATAACATCATCTGCACTGCTCTGCAAATGTTAAAAACCTCGAAGTAATACTACGAAAAGTGTAACAAAACTATTGGTTAATACCTTATATGATTTTAACTTTGATAAATTTTATGAGGCATTTATAACACTAAATGTAAGAAGGAAAAATATGAAGTGATCGATAATGTTCGAAATAAATTGTCTTCTATTGCTCCTGACTATCAAAATCAGTCAACTTTGACTGCATTATGTTAAAATGAAACTTTATATTAGATCGTAATTCCAATCTGTCCATTTCCAGAAACTTCCTAGGATTTTGATGGGAAATTCTGAGGATGCAGTAAGTTTAGTATCACTAAGGAAGAAATGTTACGAAGGGGAACATTGAATCCATAGGCTAAGAGATCAAATCACTAATACATATCATTCATTAATTACTGATTAAATTACCCAAAATTCGTCCTCACTATTTGGAATTATCTTTGATTATTGAAATGGAACAATGAGAAAGTCTTGTTGAACTTTAGGAATCCAGTTGAATTGACAACTTAAAAACCTAACGACCTATGTATTCAGCTATTAGAATTCTTTGGGAATTCTGTTTCTGCTAAAATTTTAGATTGATTCAGCGCAGTAGAAACGACTGGTGCTTTTACTTCGAGAATTGTATTTGCATCATGTGGAGGCCAGATTGCAAAATGAATGATGAAGCTAAGCTTTTAGCATATAAAACATATACCACTGGACCAAATGCAATAATTTGACCGCAAAAAAAAATTCACTCTGAATCGGATCTGTGGATGGGCGTTATGGTCATTCTAACAACAACTGACCGAAATACTAATACCCACTTCTGCCTAGTCAACAGCAACAGCTACCTCAGTTTAGTACAAGTAAACACACATACACACATGATATATACAAAAGCGTGACAATAAAGAAATATTTGATCGGTAATAGAATAGAACAATGCGATAAACAGCGACTTCATGTTGGAAAAGCAAAAATACTGGAAGTGAGTTCGGTCTATCGTTTTGTATATATCCCGTCCTTATCTAATCTCCGGGCCAAGACAAACAACTATTCTTCGGAAATTAATCCTTTCATTCCTTGCCTTCTCCAATGCTGAATATCACCGATCATTTCGGGACTAGCTAAGTGATGAACAATAATGTTAGGGTATTCCAGTTTCCTTATCTTACTTCAATTGATGATGCGATTGCGATTATAATTGCTTTCAGTTCTTTTTTAATTAGTTTTTTTCAAGTGAGTTTTCAAGAATCGCAACAATGAAACCAAAAATTTATCCTTTCAAAAACTTGTGTGTAATGAATACCAGAGAATTGGAATAATTGAATGAATCACAAGATACAGACATTATGCCGTTCACATATTTCCGCAGCAAAGGTGATCACCGAAATAGGAAGTAGCACCTGGTTTTTCAAGCGATAAATATGCAAAACAAGCCAAACAAAACGGATTATCAGGATGACAAGACTTCGAATGACAAGTCTTTAGAAAACGCCGGTTCAGCTCTCAACTGGCTTTATATTCTGTAACACTATTTGTGGCGTTTGTAAAAACCGAATAAATAAGTAAGAGAAGGCAATACCTTTTGTGGCTTTAATATTGCCTATTAAATTTTAATCTCGATACTATAATTAAACTTTTCTTTTTAAATAGTTAGAAGCATTCTTAATCGAAGTGCGTTCGTGAGAGCCATCCTGCAATGTAATTTCAATTAGGATTTTTGATTATTTTCCACTTTTTATTTCAAACTGTTTTCTATTTTTTATAGTTATGGATCAAGTCATAACAATTGCATTCGTACGCAATTTCAAGCTAATTTCTTTGTAGGATCGCTAAGCTGATTAAAGAATTAGGTTTTTAATTTTTTGAAGTAAACTTGCATGACCCTTGATATTCGTTTATTTTTATAATTTAATGAGCAAGGAAACATTCCCGAGATGACAAATGTTGATTTACATCGTTTAAATGAGATCCATTTCTTAACGTTTTCTGTACCCAAAAAATTTCCAAAGCCGTTCAACATATAGTATAGCGTGTTGCAGTGTGAAATGAAGCTTGCTACATCATTCCTCATTATGCTGCCGCAGTTATCTTTGAATGAATGCGTCTTGATGTGTTTACATTTGTCCAACACATTAGACGTCGTATGTGTTGTCATGTGCCAGTAACATTCTGAAAGTGACACAGGGCATTATACGGGCTACTCCAAGTAATCGTTAATTTGGTTTCTTGGATAGTTTCATCAAACTATTATATGAATTCCAAGTTGCATAAGGACATTAATAAGCAGTAGTGAAAGTAAAGAACCACGCACTTCAAAAATGAGGCGGAAAAAACCCAACTTGTGAATGATTGGAATCCAGTCAATAAATGTACTGCCTGGTTATGTGTGATCTGTAATTCATCGTCCCGATGTCACTGCTGACAATATGGGAAAATTTTACACCTGACCCTTACATGCACCCATAACATAGACTTAAATAATAGTTCTTTTAGCAAACAAAATAGAATTTGGAAGCGAAAATTATGTACAAATGAAAGAAATTTCTTGCAGGGGTCATTGAGGATGCGAAATTGGAAAAAAAGAAATGAGAAAAAAAAGTGAAATTAAGCAAGCGGTATTCGAACCATAGGGGGACAACAAGTCATTGTTTTCCAAATTATCAAGGGCATTCAGGAAATGGCGTTTCATTAAGACATTTTTAAATAAAGGATATTCTGTGGTACTCTCGAAGCGTGCCGGATTATCTTGGTTTAAAGTAATTTTAGAAAGTTTCGTCTCAAACTGTTGATGTAATTTTACGCGGCGAACTTTTGAGTATAGTTATTTATCATGGCCCTAGTTATAGGAAAATACATATTTCGAATGTGGATGTTTAATAATTTTGGTGTAATATTGTTACTATATCAATACGGACCGTAACTAGTTATACGGTCCTACCCTTTCTCTTCTCCATTATTCCCTACTTCATAAAAAAATTGAGCAGTATTAAACTCTATTTAACTAACAACAACCAGTCAAACTTCCAACACGTTATATGTCTCCATAGAAAGTAGTATTCCGGTCTTACCTTTGAATTAAGGAAGTGATTTCCGCAGAAGTTTAATATCATTTTGACTGATGAATGACGCAGTCATGGATTTAAGAGCAAAGGTGAAGTACACCGCAATCTAAAATGCGCTCTCCGATTTTGCTAAAGCCGTGGTTCCCAACTTTTTCTTGACCAGGGACCACTTTGACTTTCTTATTTGTACCAGACCAGAAGATTCAAAAATAATAAATTTCGCTAATATAAAAATGAACTTTAATCAAAATTTTTCATGTACTAGCTAAAACACAGAGTAACATTATAATATAAAGAAGAAGGAACGTAGGAACAAAGTCAATTTTTCTCGTGATTAATAATTTTCTACTCACAGCACTGCCGCTCTCGTAGGCCATAATTTAATTCACGTGGATCACCTGTGGTCCAAGGATCACCAGTTGGGAACTATTGCGCTAAAGTGATTACAGCCAGCTTGTAATTGTAGATCTCGTGTGATGGGCGACACCGACCTTCACGTCATACCGTTTCATCATCTCACTGTTTATACCCTAAAAACTAAATCATCTGATTGAAATTATGATAACAATATAGATATTTTTGTAATCAAATTTCATAGCATTGTGCCTAAGAGTGAAGGTTTCGCTCACTGATATTTCTGGTTTGAACAATTTAAAATTAATTACCTATGTGATACCATCGCAAATGCAGCAACGCTTCTAACATATCATTGATTGATGTCAATTCTTCTTCCTTTCTCTTATTCGTAAAGTTCACTTTTGAAACAAATTTGTTATTTATAAGTAGAGGCCTCCATGGCTACTTAATTTCAATTCATTGTATTAATCTTACCAATATCCACTTACTTACAATTTACTTAACAGTTGAAGAGCCCGAAACCAACTTCCGACCATGGTAACATACGCAAGGGAAATGGGACAACACCTTTCTTTGTGAAGCATTCAGTGCTGTGTGAATAGGTTACGTCCATCAGCTGGCCACTTACCGCACGAGTGCAACCTTCTTAATGGCAGTGCTAACCTTTCGAGCAACCCACCGTTTCAAGGGTGATTACTTATATGTTGTCTCATTAATCCCCAACCACCAGCACTGCACTTATATCGAGTAGGCAGATAACATAGGAGTTGGACACTGATCTGTGAGCTCGCTCTTCTCATCTGTTGCAACTTTCTGCGAACCCTGCTTCCTCTCAACGCCTACACACTTATCTACCCACCTACCACCCGCACACATCATATTTGTTCAGCGTGAAAGCGTTGTTAACCTCTGAGCGTTCCTCCATGTACCCATTGTGTGTTGCACCTCCTTTCTGTCAGTGCTTAGGCGTGTCAGTCAACGATCTATTGATGACAGATAACACGTTATGTTGACAGACCTGCGGTTACTATTCCTGCGTATGACAAAGGGCAGCAGAAAATGAATCATTCATGTTTATCACTGTCATAGTCCCAAATGTAAGGCCTATCTAATGACTTCCAAGAGGTATGCCTTACTCAGTGCCTGTGTGCACGTGCGAGGTGGGTTCGCGTGGGCGTGTGCACGTGTGCTGCATCTCTGTGTGCCTACACGTGGCTGTATGCACGTATGTTACATTCTTGTGTGCATGTGGTGTATGCAGATGTGCGCGTACGTCTACTCGTGCGTGCGCGCGTGCGTGGGGATACATTTCAATGATAGTAGGTGGCGTGTCGAGCTGTCTGCCTCCTCGCCTTTGCGCACTCCTCCCTCAACGCTTGAATGGTGAGGGAATTGCAGCTTTTCCTTGAACAGAGGGAGGGAGTACTGTCTCCTTCTCTATTTGTCTCAGACACTCTCATCCTGTATCGAGGTCTTGTTGCGTTACTTTTATTCACTCTGCCCGTCCGTCCGTCTACCTCTCCTCACACGCCATCGGTTTGCCCACAACAATGCACTCGCAGCCTCCTACCTCCTTCTCAACTCGCCCACACATTCGTTCTGCTACGGTTCCTTAACTGCGTGTTGGTCATGAGGCCCACGCGAGTTGCCCCTGAGCCAGGCTCTCTCTCTGCACTATCCCTTCACTTTAACAGGCTTTCCCGAGGATCTCTTCTCGCGTTGTCTTTTGTTACTTATCATCCCACCTTCAAGCCTCTCATTTGCATGCAAATTTTGCTGTATTCTCCTAATTTTCATTTATCCCCATTTTACCATTAAAAAAGCGCAGATAGTCTTTTCTATCGTCTCCTATAAGATAACACTAGAACGGTTACTTCTCAAACCAGTCTCCACGCCCCCTCTTCCAGTTGCTTATTTCCATTCTTTCAATTTTAAATGGATGTGTTTTGCCGCCCTCTTCAGTTCATGATATTTCCATCCTTAACTCAGTGTAAGTATAAATATGTATGTCTCGTCAATTCATCCCACTTCCACTTCGTAACGCTACTACTTGTGTGATGCATTAGCGTATAATAAGGTTGTTATGGCAAGTTGACAATGCTGTCATATCGAGTCGGTTTGAA